GGGGGGGGCGGGGGGGCGGGGGGGGGGGGGGGGGGGGGGGGGGGGGGGGGGGGGGGGGGGGGGGGGGGGGGGGGGGGGGGGGGGGGGGGGGGGGGGGGGGGGGGGGGGGGGGGGGGGGAGGGAGAAAAAATTACTTGAGCTCCTTCTCTCTTTGGAAGAGAGAGAGGCAGGCAGGCAGGCGCTTGGCGTTGGGGCCGGCTGGGCTTCCTATCGCCGCTGGCCATGCATTCCTTCCCAGCACGGACCCTGCAACTCCCCTATGACTTTGCAACACCCCCCCTCCTCGTGCTCTCTCCCATCTTCTTCCCTCTACCGTAAGTCCACACCTCGTACGGTTCCTCTCCATCGAACATACTTGCCCAAGGCCGCGATAGAGTCGGGGATGAAACGACAAGGGTCCGCGAGAGGAATGTTGAGAGGAAACCCTGAGCGCGGATCTGACAACCCTGGCCCCGATACCCAACAAAGAGAGGGATGCCAGGAATGCAAGATGTCCACATCGTTCAAAACATTTCAGCGGGTCATTCCACTCCTCCACTACTATATACCATAACCCGGTTTTACCTTTATTTCCCCTCCTAACTCTTCCCAAAGACATTTCTCTTCCTTTCATCTTCTCTCACTTCCTCCTCTCCGTACCAATAAAAACAATGGAATGACAATTCCCCCCCGGGGAAGAAAGGAATGTCTCGGTTCATCACAGTCAAGGGCAGAGCAGGAAATCCGAGGCAATTGAGCGGGCTGTGGGGGAAATTCCAGAGCCAGGTGGGTAGCTGATAATGAATACTCTTTGTCCAACACAACCAGCTTCTGACACCGGAAGCTGATTACTCGCTCCCTCTTACATGGGGAATTTCTCTTCTCCTTATCTCAACGCTTCATCTCTCCCTCCTTTCTCATCTACTGCTGGGGAGATGAGACGTTGAAATATGCGCTTCCAGCCTTCCCTGAACATTCCACCCGTCTCTGCGATAATCATCGCTGGCTGGGCTAACATTTTATTTGGGAATCGGCGACTAGGAAACTTCATGACTTACCTCGTGCGCAGCACATGTCGCTGTCCTCTCATCAGTCAACATCCTCACGTAAGAAAATGTCCAAAACATTCGTCAACGCCTTTTAATTCATACAGCACGTGTTTAGAGCACGATAGTTTCTCAGCGATCTCGACCGTTCACAATCGATCAACCTAAATGGCAATAGAGAGAAGAATGTGATTCCAGAGCAATGGTCACGACCTTGGTCATTGTCAATAATCATTCCAAGGATCTTCATTAGGATTTCTAATGAGCATTTCCATAAGGAATGCATTGGGCAAGGCCAAGTCCTGTCCTTTGGACCGATTGTTCCTGTACTGCTGACATAATCTTAGGGGGGGGAGCTTAAAATAGAGCCACTGGGAATTTCGGATCATAATGAAAAATCTGAGCTGCATGCGATTCTGAAAATCCGAGGATCTTAAAAAAAAAGTCCTATTTCACCTCCGATAGCCTTTCTCTACGGAATGCCGCATGCATGATCACTGGAAAGGCTACATTCCATCGGCATACCCGACTGCCCGAAGGAATCCGCAATCGTGGACCTGGTCCTCTACATTCCATCGCATGGAACGGAGAAGAACATCCGATTGAGTTTATTCACACACAGGAAATGCGAACGAGGCGAGAATGGTGAACAAACTGTACACACGCTTCATGCACTCGGGGGAAGAAGCCGAGCACGTGGCAAGGCAACACAATAACCTTCTCGCACGGCAAGTGATGTGAAGACGTTCTTCTGCAAGTATATCAGAAACACTGGATCTGAGCGAACGGCACTTTTCGTGATGAGCACATCGCAGATCGGCGGCACGAAAGACGAGGAGAAGCGCTTCGATTTGGGAGTCCGCGGAGAGAGAGTGCGCTGGGCGACGAGGAAGACCGGGACCGGGCGGCGAACTGACTCGGACTCCTCTCAACGCAGCCTCCACGCCACGGGAGGAGGAACGAATACGCACTGGAGAGGGGAATTCGGATGACGGGCACTCAGACAGGAAGAAGGAAGGAAGGAAGGAAGGAATGCGTTTTATGCAAGAGAAGAGATGGGAAAAGGATGAAGGCGATCGCCAGCAGGGCGTTACGATGGCAGCAGACGTACACACAGACACATGGAACAGAGAGAGAGAGAGACCCCGTCCCCGACCGCATTCCATCGGAACATGGATGTCGGAGTTCTCATTCTTTTCTTCCCCTCCGCCTCTCTTTCACGGATTTCAGCCTTGGATCTCGTCCGTGTTTCCCTCCACAGCCGCATGCCTCTCCGACTCGCGATTTTCGCTCCTCCCTTTCTCCCATCACCATCGAAAGAATGCAGAGAACTTCCGAGCGAGACATCCGGCAACCCTGGAGGGCGCGCATCATCGGCCGATTATTGGGGCCGGAAAACCTCTTCAAATTGATGAAAGTATGTTTCTTTCTCCGGTCGGCGGGGTGGGATAAAGAAAGGAAGAAATAACGAGGAAAGGAAATCACCGGGAAGGAAGCAGGCAAAAAAAAGCGTCGCTTTTGTTTCCATCGCGTTTCGGAGATGCCATGCCAATATCCGGTGCGAGAATCCAGCCCCCATGACTCCCATACAAAATTATTATTATTACTCCTGCATGCCCTGTTGACTTCAGTTCAGTCTCAGCTACGCGCCTCAATGCCGCCCGGTTTTAAACAATCGCCCTTGGAATTCCTTTGCTCACTCTTGATATCATCTCCATGGAATGTCATACGCAGCAGAACTGGAAAGGGAGAGAAAGAAAGCAATGACCGCCGAGAAACAAAGGCCGGACCTGGATCGAAACGCAAGCCTCCCGATAATTACACAGAATGACGTGTTTCCGTATCATCGGGCGGAATCAAATGTGACCGGCCGTGACTTGCAGCGATATCATCCAAATATGAGTTTGACTTTGCAGGAATGACTCTTCGTGTTACGGGAAACAGCACTTTCCGGAAACACTCCATGAGGTTTAATGTCATGTCGATTGCGTTCTGATTACGTCAAGTGTCTATTGGCTACTTCACGAGATAGGACACGTTGTGATAGTTCGGGAGTCGGAATCGATGTTGTTTATAAATGCATAGCAGATGATATCCCAAGGACGCAGGGAACGATGTTGTTTTTCCCGATACCGGCGTGGATATACCACTCCGCAGTTGCATTCCTCTCCGGAATCCCCGGGGCCGAGGGAGGGGAGAGAGAAGGGCATTTTCCCGATTTCTAGCTCTGGAATGCGCTCCACTATCGCAACACCCAGAGACATCTGTTAGCGATCCGTCAAACTTCTCACTTTCTTGAAAACAAACAGAGCGCGTTCAGCGAGAGATAGTAGTACCTTTAACGCTCGACAATTGGTGTTGTCTAGTGACATTTTGAAATTCGTTGGGCAGCGCTCAGATCGTCTGTCTGCCGTCTCGATCACATGAGACCAGATTCAAGATGGCAGTGAGCAGATGGGCGCTAATAGCAGAAGTGAAGCCACCCTACGTTTCCTCTCGACGTCTGGGACAGAATATTTGCAGTATTCTCCCAATAAGAGTTGGAAGACAAACTGAAAATTGTGACGGGACTCATCGTGTCCATATTTTAGGCGCGAGAAATAGCTGTTTCCTGTGGCACCCTCGGGGTGGGGGAAGGGTTCCTCGCTGCTGCATTGTCTGCAAGGCCACTATTATGACTCAGTGGGCGCTACCGTAACCGTCTGGCGGTGGACATGTGGACCATCTTGCCAGAGCCAGACAATCCAGATGGAAGCATCAGAGATAGACGACTTGAATCTGAACGACGTCAAGATGGATATCTAGACAGATCGTTTGCCTTGCCGAACTCGCCGATTGAGACACGTTTTTAAACTAAGCGGCTGGATGTCATCAGGTCCCGCACCAGCTGAACCGGCTGTAAATCCGTCTGAATTGAATCGCAAAAAAAATATTCAGTCTGCCAGCCGGCGGCTGACTTAAAAAAAAAAGCACTCTTTATCTCTCCACGCGGTCGCTCAAGCAGTCCGGACCGTTTTTTTTATGTCTGGAAGAAGGTCTCAGCCCTTAGATGGCATTGTTGATTGCCTGGGAGTGGAGTTAAAGAAAAAAGTTTAACATGTTACTTTGGAAAGTGTCAAAAGGGAAACAATGTCCAAGAGAGTTTTCCATCGTCATTAGGTTATATCAACGAAAGAACGTCTTGCGTAGAACGTCTCCTTTTGGCTTGCATGTATTTAAGAAGCATGCTTTGCTGAGACTCACGCTCTCGTCCTGCACGTCTGGTGAGCAGGAAGGCTAGTCAGCCTAAATTCCCTTTCAAGTTGAACGAGTGTTGTTTGGGTCAACCAGGTTCGATCCACGTTTGCTAAATATTATCCTCACTAGACATCACATTTTTTTATCTGAAAAAAGAAGCTTTAATGAGTTCAAGGTAAATATTAAAATGTTATGTAGTTGGTAGTTCAGTTGATCTGTGTGTAAAACAATCAAGATGAAGATATTCGATTATGGATACCATTACAAACGATCGTCTCGCAATGAACCGTATTTGGTATTGGACTGCGGCCTAACAACCAAAACGCATTCCTTCGCTAACTCCTCTTTAGGGCTCCATTTCCTTTTTCCCTCTTTCCCCGTCCCATGCTGAGAAGCAAGAAAAAGGGTTTCCTTCCCCCCCCCCCCACACACACATTCTTGGAAGGGAGAACATTTATGACTACCTTAATTGGCCAAAGTCTCATACAACGTGGAACTCGCCTTGGAAGAATCCTTCCCTATTCGGAAGGAGACGAAGGCGAAAACGAAGATCCTGGGGAGTCTGCTGACATCTGCATCACCGCCGATGACGATTCTGTTCGTCTCGATCGTTCGGCTCACCCGAGGAAACACTTTATCATTTACAGGAAGTTGAGATTTTTTTATATTTACAACTTCATTTTGGGAGACGGAACTAGGTATGGATTCACAAATAAACCTTGGGGTTAAAAAAGAAAATGAATATCAGAAGGGCCAAGAGAATGCGAAAAGAATGTGAAAAGAAAATATAAAAGGAACAGAGGACAGCATTCACTGTCACGACGGAGTTTGAGTCGATGGCTGCCAAATTTTCCGGGCTACTCGTTCCAAACAACCCAGAGGAGCGTGCCTGAATTCTATTGAGAAGCGAGAGATGGGCGGATAGAACAGTTGAAAGCGGAGAACGGAATTCCAGGTCGGAACGGAGCAGAGGGGTAGCAGCTGCGGGAGAGATAAGCCGCCTTATCGATGCGCGAACCCAAACACGCCCAGGTGTCTTTACATTCTAGCGAATGTGAGTAATAACGTATCATCCCAACTGAACTGGTTATTTTAAGCGACCCCGAGAAGCTTCGAAGACTTAAGTGGGTGTAGTTCACGCTAAAAAAAAAAATCAGTAGGATGGTAGGTCAGCTGGCTATTGCTAGCGAAACTCTTTTCGCAGGGGGTTTACAAGATTCAAGATAATTAGTGATATCAAGAGGCGATTTCGCCCATTTCGATATCAATTCAATGTTTTTGCAATATTCGGGATTCGAAATAACGCATTACGGTCTGGCGAAACAAAACCATATCGGAAGCATAGGCGATGACAGTTATTTATTCATTTATTTAACAAAAAAATGCCTCTTCCATTCCTCAGGACCACTATGCCCTTGCAATAGGATGTTCCAGCTCCAGGCAAATTAAAAAAACAAAAAAACAAAGACATGATATTTCGGTTCCGCGTGCCATTCAAGTTTCAAGCAGATCCAATGGGGAATTCTTTTACCTTTTTCGAACGGTGCTGAAATTCCATCCACCTCATGCACAGAAAAGGTACATTTTATGCCTCCATATTGAGCGACTGTCGATTTTTATTCAGACAACCTATGTATATGAAACTTTCAGAAAGCAAGTTTTGTAGTATTTTCAATGAGATACGAAGACATCATGAACCTAGATCATCCACGGCAGATTTTATAAAGCGTAAAATAGGACGTGTTTTTTTTTTTTTTAGCCACCTGGTATATGTGAAGCAGGTTAAGCAGGCTAGGCAGGTTAGGCAGGTTAGGCAGGCTAGGCAGGCTAGGTAAGCTAGGCAGCTATCATTCTGGGTTCGAAACCTGGGCATTTTCTGTTGCCCTTGGATGGTTTCGGCCAGAATCGACACAAACAATTAATTTCTTTTACTCTATTTGCGCACCTTGGTTGGAGGCAGTTTATTGCGCAGCCGGGTAATTGCCTATTTAGCCAATATATAATGTGATATATAATATATTTCTTTAACCTTAGGCTCATTAATATGTATGTAGGCAATTCAGATATAAAGATAGACATAGATTTTTGCGGATCCCGGATTGAACAACCTATTTTCATTCCACAAAATCTGGCTACCTTTTTTGCCGTACAACGACGTTGATGTTTGCAACGAGTTTCCATTGCTTTTTCGACGGCAACATCTTCCTGATTTTTTTTTCCATTTTCTTTCTTTCTTCGCTCATAAAGTCCTTTGTCCAACGTCATTTACATCAAACATCGTGTCTGATGACGACCATTCACAGCATTTTTCCAACAGGGCAAGGGAGTTTTTCCAGTCGAACAATGACCAATAGCCGAAGATAATGTCAAGCTGAGGTCGGGACCTACTTTTAATACATATTCTTTATTTTCTCATAATTACCGCCATTCTTACTCATCAGAAGCTTCTAACAGATAATATACCATACTTAGTCAATGGTAATCGGTAGGACAAAGACGTTTATGCATGGTAATCCTTGAAGTGTGCACGACAGAATGGCAAAATATGAATAGTCAATTTTTGGCAAATAATGCAAAAAATATGCAATTTATGCAAACTGCAAGGCATGAAAATGGAAATGCGACAAGTGTCACGTGCGTAATATGACAAAAGTCACATTACGTAGGCCAGGCACACTTTTATTCTTTCTTTTCGGCCTTGATCTTTTGACCCTATTCATAGAAGCTACTGGTAAACAAGAATTTCTACAGGAGGAAAGAAGTACATGCCATCTTGTAGAAGGCAGTGCTGCCAGATTTCAGCTGACCAGCCCATGAGAATCTAAAGAAGAGGTTATTCTCTACCTTGGATATTTCCAGTACTTGCTTACACGCATTTTCCCAGTCCTCATCTTCACAAAAATGAGAGTATCAAAGCCAAAAAAGGAATTGGGAAAAATATGCAATTAACTCGGAGATAACGCAAAATTTACATTTTTATGCGTTAAGTCAATACAGGCAAATATGCATATGAAATGTGGCATGTGAATTCTTCTACAAATTCATATCCTTCTCAAGTGAGAGGAAAATTCGGCTTCAGGAAAAAAATATACAAATGCATTAAGAAATCCGAGCTCAATCAGATTTCACAAAAATATAACCAGATGATGCGAGAATCCTGCGAAGTAAAATAAACCATTTAAACTGAATTCAGTTGTTTTACAGCTTGCGACAAAAAGTTAATTTTCCAGCAGAATTGGGGAGGGGGGGGGGAGTTTCGGTTAGCTCAGGATGCTCCATGACACAGGTCCTGGCCTGACTGGTAGCTCCCATTAAACGATTGAAAGGACGTCCAACAATGGCAGAACTCGGTGACTTCGTTTCAAAAGTAGGACTCGATGGAATTGAGACGAACCTAAGAAGTAAAGGCTTCCCCATAGAAGTAGGTCCTACTTTGAAAGTTTTCACGAAAAGAAACATCATCGACAGTGTGCAAGAAATCGTGGCGATTGAGGCTGTTGAACGGTGAATAAGAGTAATCCTTCCTGGAGATGAAGGGTTTATCACAAATCTCAGATAAAGCATAAATTCAGGTCGTTTTCGGAAAATTCGATTCATTTTTATTCGACACTAGATCCACAGAACATTTCAGAACGTTTCATGCGATTGATCTTCTTGAGTGGGATTCACTACTTTCAAAACTTTCCAACAAGGAGAAGTGCTCAGCTTTCTGCTCTGAATAATTTCATCTCCCGAGTCTGCTCAGAATCGAGTGTATAATTTAATGAAGACGAAGATGAAAGTGGAAAGCGAGGAGACGGAGAGAGAAGGTTCGGGTGTAGCCGGCGTTGATATGCATGATCATCGATGCAAGGATGGGAAGAAAGTTCTCACACCCAGTTTCCCTTTCCATCGATTCAGTCAGTGTCCGTCGAGCACTGTGACTTCCACGTCCGAGTCTGTCCGAGGCAAGCGAGTTCATCTCTTTCTTTTTGTGAAGTGTTGGACTTGTGTCTGCTGAATTATCTTAACCGGTAGATGAAAATGC